TTATTTTCCTTGCCTGTGATTGGGTATTCTTTGTAAAATGCAGCTTTACCTCATTTACTAAGCTCTGGAGCAATTTGAAAAGTCCAGTCTATTTGCCTTTAGTAAATCAAGCCTTTTATCTCTCTGTTTATCCACATGTACATAATAACAGTGAAAAGAGTTGGCACAATCTGTAACATTTCCTGGGTTGTTTAAATGGTTTCAACAAAAGCTTGGTCTGCAGGAGAGTGTGAAGAGAAATATGTTAGATACAGAATGAAGAAGATATCCATATGCTGATTGCTATCATTATATGTATTTACTGCATGGATAATGTTTTTGTAGATAGTGATACTATAATACAATCAACCAACCATGATCTTTGCATAAATATCCTAAACAATGTAAAACATATACAGTAGCAATATACACTACAATCAACAATAAAACACTACAGACATGGCATTTTCATGGCCACTTATTGGGGTGAAAACTAAGAGGAGCTACAAATACTTTAGCTACAAATTTACAGATACCATAGCCTCTGACTTTTAATAAACAGACACTTACCAGTCCAGGGATCCAGCGCTGTCCTCAACCGGGCCTGTTCTTCACCGGTCTTCAGGTCCCTGGTTTCACCATCTTGCTTGTGGGAAGCCAGCTGTGACTTCCTGTGGTTTCCCAAGTTGGAGAGAGTACTGGTCAAAACTAGGTATCCTAGGTGTCCTCAGCCGGGCCAGTTCTTCACCGGCCTTCAGGTCCCTGGCTTCAGCATCTTTCTTGTGGGAAGCCAGCTGTGACTTCCTGTGGTTTCCCAAGTTGGAGAGAGTACTGGTCAAAACTAGGTATCCTAGGTGTCCTCAGCCGGGCCAGTTCTTCACCGGCCTTCAGGTCCCTGGCTTCAGCATCTTTCTTGTGGGAAGCCAGCTGTGACTTCCTGTGGTTTCCCAAGTTGGAGAGAGTACTGGTCAAAACTAGGTATCGGCTTCCTGAAAAAAAATTAAAGTTTCCAGTAGTGGTAGAGGAGTGGGGGAGAAGGTGGAAAAGAAGGACTTCACTTTTTTAGGTCTCATGCACACTGCTCCACCTAAACTTAAGTTTTTGGAGCTTTTTACATTTTTTGCCAAAGCCCCTGAACACAACCCAATAACAGTCTATGGGGTTGATTTACTAAAACTGGAGAGTGCAAATCTGGTGCAGCTGTGCATGGTAGCCAGTCAACGTCTAACTTTGGCATGTTCCATTAAGCTTTGACAATAAGTCCTCATGCACACTTGACGGTTTTACAGCGGCTGTTTTTGGCTTTTGACTACAGCGGCTGTTTTTGGCTGTTTTTTTCTACAGTCAGTAAACCCCCCAGCATGTTATCCTATGTGTCCATGCACACATAGACTCTAATCAACATTTTTTTAATTGGGACGTTTTTTGGCTGGAAAAAAAACCCCAGGACTAGTGAGTTTCTAGAGGAGTGTTTTAGCTGTAAAAATGCTCTAATGCTGAAAAACGCGGCAAAATGCGGTAAAATGCCACAAACCTGCATTTTTGGACTTTTTTTACCAAAAAAAAATTTGGGGTAAAAAAACACTAAAAACCGCAAACACGGAAAAACGCAGGAAAACACAGCTAAACGCGGCAAGGGCCGCTAAACGCTAATGCACAAAATGCTAAAAAAAAGCTGAAAAAAAAATCAAGTTTTTAACCACTTCCCGACCGGCCGTTGCATATAAACGGACGGACGGTGGCACTGCAGGGTCGGGTGACCGTTTATAAACGGCCTCCCTGCACCCTGCTTGTGCGCGCTCCCTTGGAGTGCGCAGCACCGCGATCTGGTGCCTGCTGTGTCCTCCGGACACAATGGAACACCGATCGTCGGACGGGACCTCTGTACGAGGTCCCGATCATGTGATCACTGATTGGCCAATCAGTGATCACATGCAAAGTAGTAAACAAGATGTCACTTGTGACATCATTGCTTACTACGTGTGAAATCTGTGAATGATCACAGAGGTCACATGGTACAAGGCTATTCACAACAGCCTTGTAACATGTGACAAGCTGTGACCAATCACAGCTCACTCAGTACTTCTCAATGAATGCAATAATGCAGACAGAGAGAAAGAGAAATTATTGCTTTTACATCCTATATGAGTGTAAAAGCAATCAGTGTAAAAAAAAAAAAAATCTTCATCACCCCCCACAAGTAGTACAGTGTCACCATGGTGACACTCTACTGCTAGGGTGACAGTATGTAAAAAAAAAAATAATAATAATATAAAAAAAATAAAATAAAAATGTAAAAAAAAATGTTTAAAAATTATAATTTTTGGTTATAAACTAATTTGGATTTTTTTTTTACTAAAAAGATAACGGAATACATTTTGGCCAAGATTTATGATGAAATATTATTTATTTGCAAAATTTTATTTAAAAAAACACTTTTTTAAAAATTTTTTGGACTTTTTCATTTACATAGCAAAAAAAATTAAAATCCCAGCGGTGAATAAATACCACCAAAATAAAGCTTTATCTGTCTCAAAAAAATGGTAAAAAATTCATTTGGGCACAGTGTTGCATGACCACGCAATTGTCATTGAAAGTGTGATAGCGCTGAAAGCTGAAAATTGCCCTGGTCAGGAAGGGGGTAAAAGTGTCCGGTCTGGAAGTGGTTAATGTGACTTTACACAGCTAACGTTACCAGCGTTATCAAAACGTCAAGTGTTCATGAGGGCTTAAACCTGGAAGCTGATTGGTTTCTATGAAGAGCTGCACCAGATTTTGCGCTCTCCATGAATCAACCCCTATGTGTCTATGCACACTAAGCCCTGGTTCACACAGGATGCGACTTGGCATGCACTTTGCATGCCCTGCGACTTGCAATTTGCATGCCAAGTCGCAACATATTGTCCGCAATTGGAGCAGTCATATTGGTCGGAGCCGCACTGATTTCAAAAGTAGTACATGCATTAATTTTGGTGCGATTTGTATAGACATCTGTGTCAGATGTCTTGCAAATCACACATGAAATCGGTGGGTACCATGACTTTGAAATTGTGCGTGTTCACTTTAAGTCACACGATTTCAAAGTCAGGCTTGATGTGAACAGAGGGTAAGGCCTCTTTCACAACAGCATTCCATATGTCTGTTTTTCATCTGTCCGTTTACAGATGAAAAATGGAAACCAATGTATTTCTATGGACTAGCGGATGTAAACAGATGATCATCTGTTTACATCCATTAATGTCTGTATCCATTAACATCCATTTTTTGAATGGAAGAAAAACGCATGTAAATGGATGAAAACGGACAAAAAATGGATGTAAACGGAGGAAAAACGGATGCAAAAACTGATGTAAACGGATGAAAAACTATTTGCCTTTAGTAAATCAAGCCTTTTATCTCTCCGTTTATCCACATGTACATAACAGTGAAAAGGGTTGGCACAAGCTGTAACATTTCCTGGGTTATTTAAATGCTTTCATCAAAAGTTTGGTCTGCAGGAGAGTGTGAAGAGAAATATGTTAGATACAGAATGAAGAAGATATCCATATGCTGATTGCTATCATTATATATATTACTGCATGGAAAATGTTTTTGGAGATAGTGATACTATAATACAATCAACTAACCATGATCTTCTGATCAACTGATGTGAACTGATGAAAAACGGATGTAAACTGATGAAAACGGATGTAAACTGATGAAAAACAGATGTAAACTGATCTGATTTTGCTTGGAAAAAACGTGACTGAACTGATGAAAAAAATGGAATGCCCATGTGAAAGGGGCCATAGGCTTTTATTAGAGTTTAGGAGCAGCAGCATTTAGAGGCCATAAAACACTCCTCTCCTGAATGCAGAAGAATTGCGTTCAGGAGAGGAGTGTTTTGGCAGAAATCGGCAGAACACTAGTAAATGTCTAAATGCCAATAACGCAAGGTTCCGTTTTTAATTTTCATTTCAATGGCCAATGAGGTGAATAAACACCCAATCACTTGGTGCTGGTAAACAGGGCTAAAGGCTGTACATGCGTTTACCAGCGTCAAGCATTTTTTTGCTGCAAGGACAAAGGTGTCTAAAGAAGTAGATGTTAGCGTCCAATATTCATGAATCCTTAGATGACGTTACACTTTAAGTTTAGAACTGTCCTTCTGATAGTTTGATGCATTTTCAACCCCAGGATCCTATTAAGACTCCTACAACCAATCCTGTCCTGGGACAAACTCCTGCCAGGGGCGGACTGACCATTCACACACTCGGGCACTGCCCGAGGGTCCAGGGTCAGTAGGGGGTACCATGAAATGCCCCTGGTACTTTTCATAGGCTTTTGTGGGTGTGGTTTGAGTGTGGGCAAGGACACAGGGGCACCATGATTTCCTATTGCCCGGGGGCCCCATGAGTTGTCAGTCCGCCCCTGAATCCTGCTATCTGTACCTGTCATGAAAAACTGCAAAGAGGTTCTATCATCTCTTTATTTCAGTATTGCTATTTTTACCTTTACCGGTTCACATCAGAACTATTAAAGCTGATCATTAAACAGATATACCATAAAATACAGAAATGTATGCAGCATTTTAATCATTAATACATCATTAAATGCATTTTTCAAATGAAAATCATCTAAGTACCTGAATGCGACCTGTAGAGCAGGGCTGGAGTGTGAGAGGAATAAGCAGCACAGATTCATGTGCTGACAACCACATGCTTGCATGCTGATAGGTGGAGGAAACAGAGTGATAGAAAGGTGAGCCCAGCACTGTGAGGTTGGGCTCAGAGGAAGTCGATTGAATGATGGTCATCAGCCTGTGCACATCTAACACTATAAAAAAAGTACCATATAGGAAATCTCTGCAATGAAACTGAGCGTTGCAACAAAAGCTGATTTTGTCATTTTATCTTGTAATGGAATATTTAAAGTGTTGCTAAACCCACAACAGGAAAATCAGTCTGTATATGTAGTAAAGCATGCTTGTTATACTCACTGTGAAACCTAAGGGGTTAATCCTCTGCATAGTGTAAATATGCTGTTTGAACCTGTCTTCTCTGATCCTCCCCTTCTTCCAGTGCCCCCCTCTTATCTCCTGACAAGACATATCGTGTGGAGTCACTCTGTATTGGTAGAGAGGTTGTTTTTTTTTTTTCTTAGGAGAGTGCATGTGATCAGCACAGAGTCAATCAGCACTTTCCAGACAGAGGTCAGGGGGTCTGCATCTTCCTAGAGCAGAAAGAAAACTCCTCCTATGAGCTTTAACCAGTGCTCTGCTGCACACTGATAGAAGTCACAAGACTGCTCTAACTGCTGATGAGAAAAGGTATTTAGCAGTTTATATTTACTAAAATAATTTCACTTTCATGTTGTGTGTACTGTGGGAGACCAGATATAGTGAATGCAGGGTCCTGGGTTTAGTAAAAATCCACGTAAGGGAAATCAGCTTCACAGCTGGTTTCCTGCTGCGCAAAGTGCACTGTGAATGGTCCCGCAGTCTTCTGGAAACTGTGAAGTGTCCCAGAAGGCTGTGAGGAAAGGAGGGGATCCACGACACATCTGACCGGAAGTGGGAGTGGTTACCTGGCAAAACACGGCACCTAGTACCCCCTCACCACCAAAAAGTGCCAAATGTGGCAGTGAAGGTTGGAGGATGCAAATAAGCCCTTTTCGGTGAAGTTCCACTTTACATTTTCACCAGAACAGGAAGAGAGGGGACATCTTTCAAAGCAGTCCCATATTAAGAATTTCCTTTTGGGATTAATAAAGTATTCTGATTCTGATGTTGCAATGTGAGTGCATGTGATCAGCACAGGGCCAATCAGCACTGTCCAGAAAGAGGTCAGGGGTTCTGCATTCTCATAGAGCAGAAAGAAAACTCCTCCTACAGGCTTTAACCAGTGCTCTGCTGGACACTGATAGAAGTCACAAGACTGCTCTAACTGCTGATGAGAAAAGGTATTTAGCAGTTTATATTTACTAAAATAATTGCATTTCCATGTTGTGTGTACTGTGGGAGGCCAGATATAGTGAATGCAGGGGTTCAGTAATGCTTTAAAGCGGAGTTCCACCCAAAAGGGGAAGTTCCGCTTTAAAGCTTGGTCCCCCTGCTCCCCATTAAGGATTGACACCTTTGGGGAGCATGGGGGAATGGGTACCCAAGTTTGACAGGTACCCGCCCCCTCTTCCGCTGCAATCGCATTCGGCGATCAGAGATGGAAGTTGTCCCCTTCCCCGAAGTCTTGTGGGACACGTGACAGGTCCGAAAAGACAATGGGGACATTCAGGAGGCGCAGCACTACTCGCGCATGTGCAGTGGGCACCCGGCTGTGAAGCCGCAAGCTGTCACAGCCGGGTGCCCACACTGAAGATGCTGGCGCCTGGAATATAGGATGGCTGGTGAAACAGGCTGCAACGGGGGCAACGCGGGGATCGTGGGACAGGTGAGTGGCTGTTTTTTAAAAGTCAGCAGCTACAGTTTTTGTAGCTGCTGACTTTTATTTTTTTACAGAGTGAGTCGAACTCCACTTTAAACTTGTATCTTGTTATTTTTAGATGGAGTGCTGCTTTAAAATACCCCTAATAAACAATGCTATTAGTTTTCCCATACAAGAAATAAAATGATCATAGAATCTACCAATGCAATTGTATGCCATTCTAATCATACATGACCCTATGTGACCTCTACTATGTATTAGTAAATCAGCAGGCCACAGTGGAAAATGTTGTCCGACTTGGCATTGTTTTCGGCTTATAAAGATAATCTGATTGCATGCATTGCACTTTGTGAGGAAATAGGCCAATATAATCTGTTCAGTGGGTGCATGTTAGATTGGAAGAGTTTCATTATTCCTGATGAAACAATTAGAACTCTCCATGTTATCTGGCTGTTGGGAAGCAATCCAACCACTCCACTTCAGTCATTCCACTTCAAACGTCAATTTGTCACAATTTTGGAATTTACAACTTTTCTTTTTTTTCTTTTTATAATAAATGCTTCATTTATGCACTGTGCCGGATGCATAAAAAAGCAATTATTTAAATGTAAGTTTGGATTTGTAATCTGACTAATGCAGAAAATAAAAATGTTTTCATAAACTAAATTAATTGCATTTTGGATGCATGCATGACAGGAACATTTATAAGCAGATTTATTTATATTTATTTGCTGTCGACTTCTCTTAGAATAAAATGGCAAATAAATTAGATGTTACCAAGCATTAAAAAAAACACACACACTGCAGATCCTCTTCGTACTTTGATTATATTTTTATATATTTGAAAGCGGTTTTAAAGGCAGAAGGTGTTTTTACCTAGGTAAAAAAAACTTTTGTATGCAGCCCCCGTCCTCAACCCCTCCTCCCACATTTATACTTACCTGAACTTGATCTTGATTCAGCGATGTACACAAAAGCAGCAGCTCTCTCCGCTCTCTCCCTCCTCACTGGATCAGAGACAGCAGCCAGAGTCATTGGCTCTTGCTGCTGTCTATCACAACCAATGAGGAGGGAGTGGTGGTGGGGCCAGGCTGTGCTCTGTGTGCCAATGTATGCGCATGTGCCCCCATAGCAAGTTTCCCTCATAAAAAGCGGCTTGCTATGGGCGCACTTAGCAGAGTGGAGGAGCCAGGGGCACCAGCAGGGGACCTGAGAAGAGGAGGATCGGGGCTGCTCTGTGCAAAAACATTACACAGAGCAGGTAAGTATAACATATTCCTTCACTTCACACAATCACTCCAAAGCTGGCCATGGATGAGTATTTTTTACATTCACCAGTTTGCTCCAGCTATACAAACAAGGTGGATGGAGGAATTGCTCCCGCTGGGACATTGTATACTGACAGCGGGGTCCAGCACTGTTAGAATACACTGATCAGCGGCTGCAGCCAGCTGCATATGTACATAGCAGGTAATAAAATAAAGTCAAATGTCCTAAATACAGCCCCTCCCAAGAAAATAAAAACATACTAACTAAATAGAGAGAAAGAGAAAAAACATCCCCTATAGTCACAGTATGCAAAAAAAAATTGTGATAAAAAAAGTCACCTTCAAAAAACTCACCATGCCTCTTACTAAATACATTGGACTATTTTCCAGAAAGGGGTCATTTGGGGGTATTTGTACTGTCCTGGCCAAGAAATGAGGCAATCAGTACGGCTCCAGGAACACTAGTGTTTTTCTTTTGAAGCTCAAAAAACACTTAAAAAAAAGAAAAGAAAAACATACCGACTAAATAGAGAGAGCGAGAAAAATCATATCCTATAAAAAAAAGGAAAACAGTGCGTATCTTTTTTTCTCAAGCTAGTTTTACCTAAGCAGCTCAAAGAGCAAAATTGAGAGCTTCCATTTATTTCCCTTTCACTTCTGAATCAATTTGGGTGAAATCACTCTGCTCATCCCTACGCACAAAACACTTCAGCAAAAGCTACTGTAGACTCTACAAAAATGCTCTGTATATAATATAAGGAAATCATTGTGACAATGACAGCTGAAAGATCTTCACTGACAGTGCAGTTATTATTTAAGAAATAAAGCCGAGTTCTGTTTCTGTTCCAGTCTTCCTAAATAAAAATACTGAATGATCACCCAGCAATTTTTTAAATTGTCATTGTTGGCGTTATTTCTTTTTTGGGTGGCCGTAGAATAAAACTAGATTGAATTTTTTATTTTTGATTATCAATGCTCACTGCAAAGCTAACGCCTGTGTGTATTGATATGTTCAGCTTATGTACATTTCTGGTGTTCGAGGTGTCAAAGAGCATTAGGTCTCATTCACATGGGCTTATGCGTATTTTCCTTCACAGAACATAGGTTCTTGCTGGCAGAGCTAACAAAAGATCCTGTATAAGTCTAGGTTCACACCTATGCAGGTTGCGTTTGTGTTGCATTTTGTGTTTTTCCACGTGCATTTTTGCCACGTTTTTGATGCGTTTTGCAGGGGTTTTTTTTTTTCATTTTTTGTATTTTTCTTGTTGCTAGGCAGATTTTAAACAAAAAATGCATTAAAAACACCAAAAATGCAGCAAAAACACAATACATGCTTTGAAGTCGCAACGTTTGGCGTTTAAAAAAGTTCCTGACCCTTTCCAAAAACCGCACCGAGTGAAAACGTGGAGATGTGAACCTGTCCCAGAGGAAATCATGTTAAATGGTATAATGCAATGCTGGATGCAATAACTAAAAGCAAGTCATATACAAGTCAATTACACACACACACAGGTACGTTTAAACAGCATTTACACCATTAATTATTCTAAGCATGTGAAAGACCCTCTACCAAATGAACACCTGCTCTGGCACATCATAGCATTCACTCGGCACTCCAAGAAATAACAGAATCCTACTGCAATATTCTTGCACTCCTCCACTTTTATTAGCACGTGACACAGAAGGATATATCTTATAGTCATCACAATCTGCATAAAGCACACACCAATAATAATGTGAGCATTACAGCATGAAATAGACAGTGTCACAGCATAGCATTAATACATTACCAAAGCTATGGGAAGATGGGAAGGAGCAGACCCCATTGGAACCATAATGCACAGGGGGCCACAGGGAAGCCGTAAACACAACCAATCGATTAGCCCATATAGCCTTGGCAAGAGTCCCAGCGTCAGAGCGTCCTCGTCTGCAAAGGAAGGCTCCCATTGATTATGCTTAAGGCGGAGCTCCACCCAAAAGGGGAAGTTCCGCTTTATGGACTCCTCCCCCGGTTCCCATTAAGGGTAGGCACCTTTGGGGGGGAGGTGGATACTCGAATTTGACAGGTACCTGCTCCCACTTCCGGTCCAATCGCCTAGGCGATCGGAAGTGGAAGGTGTCCTCCCTCCCTCCCTCCCTGTAGTCTTTTGGGACACGTGACAGGTCCCAGAAGACTACAGGACCATTCATGAAGCATAGCGCTACTCGCGCATGTACAGTGGGTACCCGGCTGTGAAGCCGCAAGCTATCACAGCCGGGTGCCCACGCTGAAGATGCCGGCCTCCTATTTTTTGACAGGGTGAGTGGAACTCCGCTTTAAGCTCCCCATTTTTAAACCCTTTTTCTGGCAGCTTTCCCGAAGTGGGCAGGCACCACACCCACTCTAGGAGGAGCTAGCAGAAAGGTTCCACTACACTGCATTATCTAAGAATATCACACTTTTGCTTCAAATCAGCTTCTTATCTACCCTAAACTTAAAGATTTCTAACTTCTCAAGCAAGTAGACATTTTTAATTGCACAAACAAGTTCTTATCTAATTTTTTTTGTTTACAAATGATTTTATTGTATAAAAGTAGACTGTAAAACAACAGCACATTTTCAAATAGAATTGCAGCAGTAACAAGGCACTTTTAAATAGTACAATACAGAAAAGTATATTAGTATAAGAAAGAGAAGGAAAAGAAAAAAAAAAATGTAAGATTGCAGGAACATGAACTGTGTAAATGATGAGGTAGATTAAATGATACATCTGTCAACAGTATATGCCATTCAACTTTCACTGGGAATGTTATTAATCATGCAATAAATGTCTACAATCCCTCCATGACTCCCATTTATTATCAAATAAGTGCATCTCATCCAATAGGGTATAAAGAATGCGTTCCATGAGCATTACAGTATCAATTCTGTGCAAGACGGAGGTCAAGGGTACAGCACTGGACCTCCAATGTAAGGCAATAGACCATAAAGTGGCAATACATATAGTATGTATCAATCTCATAATGGCATTAGAGACTCCTGGGATATGAGCCCCCCAGTAAGCAGGTCTGCATAGACAATCATACCTGGGTACCCGCCAGTGAGGTAGCCACCTCAGATATCTTGCACCAAATCACAGAAACTATCGGCAATCCCAAAATATATGAACCAAAGTTCCCGTAAGGCCACAGCCCCGTAAATAGAGGGGGGACGTTTGTGGAAACAGTACATGTAGTCTTGATGGGGTATAATACCATCTGGTCAAAACCTTAAGGGCCGTCTCGCGAACAGAAAGG